CATCGAGCACTAGCTCTACCTCAAGCACATCGAGCACCAGCTCGACCACTAGTACTTCGAGCACATCGAGCACCAGCTCGACCACTAGTTCTTCGAGCACATCGAGCACTAGCTCGACCTCGAGCACATCATCGACTTCGAGCACCAGCTCCACAAGCTCGACGTCCAGTACTACATCTACGTCGAGTACCTCGAGCACATCGAGCACCAGCTCGACCACTAGTACCTCGAGCACATCGAGCACTAGCTCTACCTCAAGCACATCGAGCACCAGCTCGACCACTAGTACTTCGAGCACATCGAGCACCAGCTCGACCACTAGTTCTTCGAGCACATCGAGCACTAGCTCGACCTCGAGCACATCATCGACTTCGAGCACCAGCTCCACAAGCTCGACGTCCAGTACTACATCTACGTCGAGTACCTCGAGCACATCGAGCACCAGCTCGACCACTAGTACCTCGAGCACATCGAGCACCAGCTCGACCACTAGTACTTCGAGCACATCGAGCACTAGCTCGACCTCGAGCACATCATCGACTTCGAGCACCAGCTCCACGAGCTCGACGTCCAGTACGACATCTACGTCGAGTACCTCGAGCACATCGAGCACCAGCTCGACCACCAGTACCTCGAGCACATCGAGCACTAGCTCTACCTCAAGCACATCGAGCACCAGCTCGACCACTAGTACTTCGAGCACATCGAGCACCAGCTCGACCACTAGTACCTCGAGCACATCGAGCACTAGCTCGACCTCGAGCACATCATCGACTTCGAGCACCAGCTCCACAAGCTTGACGTCCAGTACTACATCTACGTCGAGTACCTCGAGCACATCGAGCACCAGCTCGACCACTAGCACCTCGAGCACATCGAGCACTAGCTCTACCTCGAGCACATCATCGACTTCGAGCACCAGCTCCACGAGCTCGACGTCCAGTACGACATCTACGTCGAGTACCTCGAGCACATCGAGCACCAGCTCGACCACTAGTACCTCGAGCACATCGAGCACCAGCTCGACCACCAGTACCTCGAGCACATCGAGCACCAGCTCGACCACCAGCACCTCGAGCACATCGAGCACTAGCTCTACCTCGAGCACATCATCGACTTCGAGCACCAGCTCCACGAGCTCGACGTCCAGTACGACATCTACGTCGAGTACCTCGAGCACATCGAGCACCAGCTCGACCACTAGTACCTCGAGCACATCGAGCACCAGCTCGACCACCAGTACCTCGAGCACATCGAGCACCAGCTCTACCTCGAGCACATCATCGACTTCGAGCACCAGCTCCACAAGCTCGACGTCCAGTACTACATCTACGTCGAGTACCTCGAGCACATCGAGCACCAGCTCGACCACCAGTACCTCGAGCACATCGAGCACCAGCTCGACCACCAGTACCTCGAGCACATCGAGCACTAGCTCTACCTCAAGCACATCGAGCACCAGCTCGACCACTAGTACCTCGAGCACATCGAGCACCAGCTCGACCACCAGTACCTCGAGCACATCGAGCACTAGCTCTACCTCAAGCACATCGAGCACCAGCTCGACCACTAGTACTTCGAGCACATCGAGCACCAGCTCGACCACTAGTACCTCGAGCACATCGAGCACCACGAGCACATCGAGCACTAGCTCTACCTCGAGCACATCATCGACTTCGAGCACCAGCTCCACGAGCTCGACGTCCAGTACGACATCTACGTCGAGTACCTCGAGCACATCGAGCACCAGCTCGACCACTAGTACCTCGAGCACATCGAGCACCAGCTCGACCACCAGTACCTCGAGCACATCGAGCACCAGCTCTACCTCGAGCACATCATCGACTTCGAGCACCAGCTCCACGAGCTCGACGTCCAGTACGACATCTACGTCGAGTACCTCGAGCACATCATCGACCTCCTCGATCACCAGTACATCAAGCACATCGAGCACTAGCTCGACGTCGAGCACATCATCGACTTCGAGCACCAGCTCCACGAGCTCGACGTCCAGTACGACATCTACGTCGAGTACCTCGAGCACATCATCGACCTCCTCGAGCACCAGTACATCAAGCACATCGAGCACTAGCTCGACGTCGAGCACAACCTCGACAAGCTCGACGACCTCTACGAGCTCTACCTCGAGCACATCATCGACCTCGAGTACCTCAAGCACTAGCTCAACTAGTTCGTCGACGTCGAGCTCTCTGCTTCCATCATCTTCACAACCTTCCGTAACGACAGTGTTTGACTTTGTTCTTGGTAACTTCTTCTCTACCACCAATGATCCCTCGATCGATCAAGGCGATCTTCAATATGTCAATGACACTCGCCCACAGACCACCCTGTCCCCAGCTAGTGGCGGTGAGGATAACAACTCCCTCGATGTCATTTGGCCTGTCCTGGTGGCGTTGGGAGTTTTATCTTGTTGTTTTTTCATTGTCTTAGCGGTTTGGCGTCGGCGACGACCAAGTCTTTATGAGGATGAAGGATTTGATATCCTGGAATCAGATCCTTGGGATCTACTATCAGTAAATTCTCGTCGTGCGTCTGCGTGGGGGGCAGCACGGGCTGCGCCTGCGCCTCATCTCACGGAGCACGACCTATGATTTTACATCCATTCAACTCAATGCTACGCAACTTTTGGTTTACGTTTTATGTTAGCAGTGTTAGATTTTGTTGAACCAGCATGCCAGACGCAAACCTTGCGCGTGACCCGTGTACTTGAGTGTTTTCTGCATGCAAAAGTTGTAATTTGCCTTTCTTTGATGAGTTTTAATCAATCAGCTTATCGTCTATTATTATGTCAACAATCAAAGCGCATGGCCTTATCAATCCTCTCAATGTGTCTGGTATTCACGGTCACAAGCCAGCAGTCTCGCTTGCACTAGCGCCAGTTGCAGCAGGTCATCGAGGGCGAGCTGGAATTGATTTTGGCTGTGGCGAAGAGCTGGGGGTGGGAGCGGCGAGAACCATCTACGACAAAAAAAAAGGAGTGAGTCATCGAAAAGAAAGAGGTCAATCGGAAAATAAAATACTCTGACCGGATTGGATCAGCTTGAGAAATGCCTTTTTTGGATGCTTGAGCTTCATCTTGTGCTGGCACAGAGCTGGCTTGCAACGTTTTGCCTTCCTAATAAACCCACAGCTGGTCCCTCAGGATTTGGCATAGAGAGAATGAATGCATGGGCAGTCTCAACATGCGTACTCGTTTCCGAAGCCTGTGACTGCTTGTTGCTGTGGTTGTGTCGCTCTCGCTCGATGCGTTGCTGCAAAAAAAAATAAAAAACACCAGATGACAGGCAAAGGTGAATACAAGCACCTAACAAGAAGATGATACACGACGGACATATCCAATCAACCTTGTGTCTGTTGTGACACGCTTCGAAGCAGTCATTTGCGAGGGGAAGCGAGCGGCTCCCAATCCGTACATCCCCAACGTTTTCCGTGCTTGTGCCATACTCAGGAAGCCCTGCCAACGAGGTAGCGTCAGAAGGAATGAGAGTCAGTTTCCGAGTCCTCTTGCAAGATAATACGTTAACCTCCACGTTTATCGGACGCTCAGGTCAAGCTTGCCTCGGACATGGAGCTTTGCACCCGAGCCATGAGGGCTCTGTACTCGACATAGTCGGACATGAATCTGGATAACACCTCATCGCGTTCCTCATCCGCTTCACGGCCCACGACGGTCGCCATGTCGCTCATCATCCAAAGTAATAAAGGAGCAACAAAAATAAACCCAAAACGTTTTCGCCACCACTAAACACCGCTGCTAATATCGCAATAATACGTCGACCACAGCGAACAACACCCCCGTTGTCGTCGTCGTCGCCGCCGCCGCCGTCGCCACCGTCGTCGTTGTGGTCGTCGCACACGTCCTCCAAACTGTTCGTTCAAAAAAGATGACATTCGCCAAGTAGTTGAGAACAACAGTTGTGGATTTTAAGTGTTTTTTTTTTTTTTTGCTTGCTTGACAGGAATGTCGTCGAGATCATCGGCGACGGCAGCGGCTATGGCGCCGGCGGCAATGATGGACGGGGAGGAGTTGACGGCAGAGGAGGCTGCAAGTTTGGAGACTTTTATCTTGGATGGGACGGGTGCAGTGTTGCCCTGCTTGCCTCCGCATGTGACAACACCAATTGGGCGGAGTGTGGCGCGCCTTGCACGGGCAGGGGTGGCGGTCCTGGATAATCTCATGTACCTCTTTGGTCTGGTACGTTCTCACGGCCAAGAAAGTGCAGAGGGCGGTGCACGTTTGACGAGTTGATCAAGACTCATCGTGTTCACTGCTGCATGTGATGATGCTTGGTTCCAACAAGATCCTCGTCTTTCTAGCCATTACGTTAATTGGCGCCATTGTCTACTGTTACTACAAGGTGAGCCTTTGTCCACGCGTCGAGTGGCTTTGGCTTCGGTCATCCATCTTCTTCGCCCGCCACCTCACGTCTGAACGTGTGTACGACATAGATTTTGATGCCCTATTTGTACGCCACCTCTTCGAACGAGGCCTTTGTTTGCCACTTCCTCTTTGCCCATTGGCTCTTGATCAACATTGCGTTCAACTATGGCATGGTGGTAATGACAGACCCCGGCAAATTCAAACCAACCCGGGTAAGCCCTCATTTCAGACCACGAAAACGTCAAGTCCACCTCTAGGGTTACTCGAATGCCTTTCGGCAGCCTCATCTGCTATCAGAAAAAAAAAAAAAAAAGCATTGTTGACGAACTGGCTGTGTTCTAGGTCAGCGATGCCGAGCACGAGGCATACACCCGCATATACCGACCCGACTACTGCTTCAAGTGCCGTAGCTTGCGCCCTGCTCGGGCACATCACTGCAGCATTTGCAAGCGTTGTGTCTTGAACATGGATCATCACTGCCCAGTATGTCCTCATCGCCCTTTGTTGGGTGATCCATCGTTCTTTGCCTGCTGCCTGTCCCTCATTTTAGACCTCGACACGCTTTGTGCAGTGGATCAACAACTGTGTCGGGCATTTTAACCATCGGTACTTTTTTCTTTTCATGGCCTTTTTATGGGTGGGCTGCATCTACATCATGTGTGTGGCTGGGAACCTCTATCTCAAGGTCAGGCAGCAAACGCAATGATGTGTTTGCCTTGGCTCGTTCACACATGCTTACTTGCCGTGACCTACTGGAACGTTTAGAGAGCTCGTGCACGAGTTTTACTCGTGAGTGATCCTAGCCACCCGTTGGTGAACGAGGTCCGAGAACTTCATCACCTTGGCGTACGTACTATCTCTTGATGTCTGCGATTGTGTGGTCATTTTTCCTCCGGGCCAAGGAAGAAGAAGCAGAAGCACCACTCGCATGGCAAACCATTTGCTTTCTATCCTCGATTGAGTTTTGAGGTGCTCACGTCTACCCGAGTGCCCTTGCATTGTAATTGTCGCGATGCTCCCAGTACTTGGGCAAGGGCGTCACTTTTGCTACCATCTTGACCTTTGCCGTTGCCTTTGCTTTGGGCATCTTGCTTTTCAGGTTGGGTAACCCTTTCTGACCTGTTCCTTTTTTTTCCTGGGAGGGGGGCGGGGAAGAGCGCAATGATGCGACGGTAGTCTACTTTCTATTTTTGACACGATCCGTTTGGCTTACTTGCTTTAGTCACGTGTTATTTGTGTCGCGTGCGGAAACCACGATCGAGTTTCAACAGAATTTCCGCCAGTGTTGGCGCGATCGGGTACGATGCGAGCTCAGTGCCTGGCTTGCTTTGGATAATCTTGCCCAAGGCATATCTTTGAGGCTCTCTCGTTGCTATTTCACTGTATGTACTTGTGCCGCATGATGTTTTGCTACCCCGCCCATAGTCCTTCCGCCATCCATATTCCAAGGGCATCTGGACCAATTGGAAGAATTTTCTTGGCCTCTCTGGACGCCGCACGCTATTGAGCGTGCTCTTTCCCAGCACACACCCGCCTATTGGGGACGGCATTAGATGGACGCATTTGCTACCCCCACAGACACCAGGCCGTGTCGTTTAGTAGAAGGCGAGCACCCTTTGTTCTAGGAAACCTCGGAAGCAGGGGTTTGGACACTGTGTGTCATTTTTTTGAATCATTAGGTTGTTTTGGGGTTTCTTCCTTGACCAATCCAGTGCAATGCAATGCTCACGATGAAAGCGGGATCCAAAGCGTCATCAGCTGTTGAGTTTGACAGCATCCTTTTTTGGCTTGAACTCATACCCAAACGACAAAAAAAAATCTGGCTTTCCTATTATGCAATACTTCAACGCTGCATTGAACAAACCTAAACATCCATGTCCGCATTCTCATACCAAACGGCGTAGGAGGGGCCTCCATCGCGCTCCAGCTCTTCCTCGTACTCTAGAACTTGTTGCATCACCTCTTCCTCAAAGAGCCGTTGATAGATGGTATCTGCGGACTGAACCACGCATGATGTGAGGGCAAAACACTTGGCATGGAATAGCAGACGGGTCAAGAGATGGGTGCATGTGGCCGTAAAACCAATTTCTAGTTGAACGGACCTTCATGCGCGGTTCAACCACGTATGCTCTGCCAGTGGATGAGCCGGCTCTATACCAGAGGTGGTAACATGAGACGCGGCCTTGGCAGAAAGATTTTGTTGCCATCACGTTCAATGCAAGGGGCATGCGCAAAAAAAAGCACGTGTGTATGGAAAACGGCGGTGGCGACCTACTGGGCTTCAAGAAAAGCTTGGACTTTGGTGTAGAGATCGTCAGTGGCGACACCATGAAACAACTGTAGCTGCATCAAAAAGGCTTCAAGAATAAAAGCGACAAAAATGCTAGGCAACACCGGATTCAAGAAGGTGTGTTGATGTGAGCTTGAGGATCAAAGCTGACAACGACGCCAGAAAAAAAAAAAAAAAGATCAAGCATACTTACTTGAGCATCAGAACGACGGCGGTCAGATGAAATGCAAGAAAGAAGAGGCGGGCCGACTCGTTAGTAAGAATGACGAAGCCACTTGTCAGAATATGCCACTATAGTACGAGCAGCAGCCAGCGACAGGGGAAATTGAGACTGGTGCAGCAGACGCAGAAGCCGGTCAGGTGCAAGCAACGAAGACGAAACGGGCAAACCTGATTGACAACCATCAACTCGAACAAGGTCACGTAGGCAGCTACCACGTCGTTGAAGTTGTTGGTAAAGTAGCCGTCCTTGGCAAAATCACTACCGATCAGCTGCGGATTTTGCGACATCAAATCCTGGTAGTATGTGGAGTTTGGGTCGAAAACATGACCCTCCAGCTTGGCGTTGCCCTGGTTGAAGTGTGAAAGCGCAGTGAGGTCAGGCAGCGTTATCAAAGATGCTCTTATTATGTCGCGTACATCAAGACAGCACTGACCTCGTAAATGCGCCCGCCAAAGCACTCCATCCCAACGACCGCAAACACGTAAAACACCAAGAAGAGCGCGCACGCATAGGTCCAAAGAGCCGGGCCGAGCTGCGAAAGGGTACTAATGATCACAGCAAATCTAGAGCCACACAGAGTAGGGCAAGTTATCAGCACTTTGCACCATGGCGCATGGCTTGGATCAGACTGCTTCAGCTACAGAGCCCTGATTGGCCGCTCAAGCGCTCAAATTGATGTATCATAGGCAATTTTGAAGCGGCGCCTGCAGACGTACTGTTCATAGTGGTTCAAGATACGAACGAGACGCAGGACACGAAGCACCAAAACAAAATCTAAAAAGCTAATGTCATTGACATCTGCAGAGGGGGCGGGGAGGGCGCATCTAGCATGAGGACCGACGGCGACGCACAAAAGTGCCGTTACCTCTGTATCGCGCACACATACCCGCTGCCTCCAAGATGGCCAGAAGTGTACCGATGAAGATGACGACAAAATCGAACACATTCCAGGACTTTCGGAAAAAGTTGACTGTCCCAAAAGTGTAAAGCTTGAGCAGCATCTCAACGTTGTAGAGGGGCAGAAGGACCACCTCCGCATCGTCGTCGCTCACGCCAATAAGAATGGCGTTGGCAAAAATGACAACGTCGAAAAACCAGGTAAAGTATCTGAGGATACAACGCCCAATTTAGATGCGATGGTGAGAAGTCACGCAGCTTGTTTCGAAGAGCCTGTTGCCTGCACGCTTGGTTGGCTACGGGCCTCAACGCGTACTTGGAACGAACGACTGCCTTGATGAAATTGCTGATATCCGAACTGTAGCAACTTGGGAAACGCCGATCCAAGATATTGTTCCGACTGCTGACCTGTTTAAAGAGAGCACCGACACGATGGAGTGAGATGCAAGCAAGGACTCACGGAGAAGCCCTCTTAAAAGATATAGGCAAAACGCATCAGGTCCGATTGGCGAGCCCATGGTGGCACGAACCGGGCTGACAATGATGTTGAGAACATCTGCCGTTTGCAGCAGCTGATTCAGAGCTGCACACGCGGAGGCGTTGTAAGGAAGCAGGTATCAGTGACTTGAGGCATGCAACTTTAGCAAACTGCGCCACCACGCGTGAATGAGTACTGACAGAGCTGGCCGACGTTGCGAGTATCAAGCAGTTTCCACAAGAGCTGCGCCTTTTCAGGGTCAGTCTTGGTCGCGTCTACAACAACTCGGAGCCACTGCAATGGGCGAGACGTGAACAAAGTTGCAGGTCGCTGCACATGGATTTGGCCCGAACAGGCAGGGTCGTACACGATCAAAGGGGACACCACGGCCTGGCTCGCGCAGAATCTCAAAGAGCCGGCGCAGATTGATGCGAGTATTAATCATTTGGATCTTAATCTCGTTCTAAATGGAGGCGCCAAGAAAGGAAAAAGGTCGGTAAGGTTCACAGACTTTGGAGGTGCAGGTATCAAGAAAGGGATGGCAGCGCCCGGCGCTCAGAGCAACGCGCAATGTGCATGCCGTGCGTACCTTGAGATGGGTCCGATAGTTGTCATAGGTCACGGCTAGCACAATGCTCAGGAAAATGTACATGGTAATCACGATGAACGAGACAAAGAGCATGGAATACCACTCGTTTTGAGAGTAGGCCGGCATCCTGTGCGGGCGACCGTGATTGATGTTTGATGAGTGAGTGTGAGGGCAGAGACGGCGCAGGGACTTTTGCGTTAAGAGAGACGAACATGATATCCGGGAAGTTGGCGGAGGTCATGAGGACGTAAAACTCCCAGTAAATGTCAAAATATGAGTCCATGTAACGATCGCCACTTGGTGCCACATAGCGGTGCTTTCGAAATAAGGACAGGGCCAACAGAGAGAAAAGAGCAATGGTAGACAACAGCAGGACCAAGACATTGGCGACGCCTGGGATGGTACGGCGAACGCTTCGAAAGACGCGGCGAATCTGCGACCCCACGAGAGAAAGCGAGGGTCAGGAGAAGAAAGTTCAAGTTCAAAGCATGAAGTGAGATCCAGGGTGAGTTGAGAATCCACGGCTGTGAGAGATAAAAAAAAAAGCAGTTGAGGCAGAATAGGACTGACCTGTCGAAATTCGCTAAAGCATACGGCGAGGATGGGACGAAGGACGCGCGTGTAGCGGAGGGTGAACGAGTCGGTGGAAGATGTGGCAATGTAGACGACCATGTCAATGTAGGTTAGCTGTGGGAAGAATCGGACAAAGCAATTGAGGAATTCAAGGGGTGGAAGAGAAGAGCACGGTAGGCAGACTTTTTGAGAAACTCTGTCAGCTCTCAGAACAACGGGACAAATCAGGCTTACCGCAATGATGGCGATCAGCCCAATGTTTTTCCGGTCAAACCAAAACTGGCGGTAGGTTTGGAAGCGCGACAAATGCCTCAAGCGGATCGCAAAGACGAGCAAGATGAGAGCCTCGATGCTCATGGTGGCTTGCCAAGGAAGGAGGAGCTGAAGGCTCCCGTTGGGAGCCTCAAGAAGGGCCAGAGCCAACAGAGCCACAACAAGAAAAGCAACCAAAAGTCGATACTCCCAGCGATGATAGTCCCGATAGCTTTGAATGGTTTGCAAATCATCTGCTTGTACACTGACACGACCCAAGAGCGCATCCTCCAGAAGGGACATGGCCAACAGGTGTTCACGCTCCGACATTGCAAAGGAGGGCGTGGCAGTGACGTCTTCGCCGTCATCCGCGGCAGAATTGGATGCATTGTCAGTGGTCGCACTGGGGGCGACCTGAGGGCCAGGATCTTTGCCATTGGCCGTAGCCGTGTGCAAGCTGGAGGCTGGGGGGCTGGCCTTGGCGAATATGGGGTCAGCAAAGAGATCTTCTTCCGGTTCCAGCTCCAAATGAGGCGGGGCATTCGGAGGCGGTGCCATCGCGACAAAGATGATTGGAGCTTGGGCGCGCACAGCCCGACTTTCAATCAACCGTCCGCTGGCTGCCCTGGGCGTCCGATGAGGAGCTGTTGCAGCTGCAATTTTTTTCGCTGCCGATGCTGCAAGGGGACGCACATCCAAAGCCCTCTTGCCAATGAGTCACGCATCCATTCCGTGCAAGAGAAGCCCAGCACCAGGGCAGGCACGCCGTTGTTGGATGGCCGATGCACGAGTCAGCCAGCTCTGCTGAGATCCGAATCAAGATAACCGCAAGTGCGACACCTGGAACGACCGACCAGCCGTCAGTTCAAAGTGGCAGGAAGCAGATGAGACAAACGCCAGGCCAGAGTAGCAGGAGCCGCGAGAAACACGAGGGCACGCGCGCGAGCATACTTGGAGGTGCGGGCGGGAGGGGCAAAGAGGAGGTGGAGGCGGGGGGTGGAGGCGGGGAGGGGTGGGGGGTACAGCACGGTGTGCGTTCAAGGACCCCCTTCTTGCCGATCTCCCAGAAGCTGCCCGGGGAACAGCAGCAGCAGACGAGCAATTCTGCTCCGGCACTCAAACTGATAACTTTTCGACTTGAACTCATTCAGGTTTGTCGTTAACCTTTGTTTTATATGCACAAACTCCAGTATTATTAGTTAATGATTACGTGTTGAAATGAATATTATCTGCACAAAGTCTGGTTTTAATGTTTATAAACGTGAATACCAACTACAGAAACCGCAGCAGTCTCTGCTTTAACAACATCAACAAAAAGAACAGAGCTGACAAAAGAAAGAGAGGTGGCAGTGAGGAAGAGCGGAAACGAGAGATGCAGGTTGATGGTTCACAAACTTCAAAGATGTGAACCAATTCGATCAAATTAGCAAGCCAAAGTCCTACATCAAAGCAGAGAAAATCGTGATAGTGTTCCGAAGATAGAGCTATGGACACGTACAAGCGCTCATCCAGAGATCAACCCGACCCGGCATCGAATCTTGAAAGTGTCTTGTCCAGTACACACTACCACAAAGGTGTGACCGTTGTGCGAGAGGTTGTCAGATTATTTCTTCTGAAAGCGCTGATAAGCTTGAGCAGATATGGCGACGTTAACCACGTTTCTCTCTGCAATAAAATATACTACGAGTGCATATATAACTGCAATAACTTTACATTCTTCTACTATTTCTGTATTCTTCAACTTGAGCAAGAAGTATTATACTTTTCTGCTCTCGTTTGAGAGAGAAAAATTTGAGAGAGAGGGCGTTGCCGCCGTCGCCGTCACCGTCACCGTCACCGTCACCGTCACCGTCACCGTCACCGTCACCGTCGCCGTCGTTGTCGTCAGGATTGAGTTTGGTCCTGGGGGCGGGAGGAGAGGGGCGGTTGGTGACCGCTTTTGATCACAGGAGACTTTTTTTTTGATTTTGTCTGGACCGTGCTGGACCTTTTGTTGATATGTGTGGGGTCGGTTGAAAAGCGGGGAGGAATCTGAAGCTGCACAGCGCCCGAGGCCTGAACACGCGGGTTGCACGACACCAAACGCCTGCAATGAGTCTCCTGCGCGAGGCCGAGGCGCAGGCGCCGGCCGGGTCTGACGTCAGCGCTGTCTTGGCCGAGTACCACGAGCGCTACTCGCAGCAACAGCGAGAGGATCAGGCCCTTTCCTTGTACTTGGCTGGTGCCGACAGCGTCCTGTCCGACTCGCTGGGCGAAGCAGAGACTGATGCTTATTTGGACATTGAGCCTGACATAGCCACAGCCGGAAGCGGAGGGGTAGCTTTGGAACAAGATGCCAGCCAGGCCCTGCCTTCCTACGACTACGGAGAAGCCCTCGACCGCAATGGCACCGACTCTGATTCAGACTCTGACTCGGATGATCAGATTGGAGGCCCGCCAGAGACCTACCTCATGTTCGACCCGTCGCAGCAGTCGGATCCTTGGACAGACGTCGAGGAATTGCGTCGGCGCAGCGAGACCACAACGCTACCGAGCAATTACAAACTTTGCAGCAATGTCCCGCAAGAGGCCATCAACGAGGTTTTGCTCGTGTATCAGCACGTGTACCGGCCCGACCTGGATCGCATTGCCGCCACCAAGGTGCTCGAGGATCAACCTCAAGGCACCTTCCTCGTCCGACCCAGCTCCCAATATAAAGGGCAACAGGTTCTTTGCCTGAGCATCCACGGCATTGTTGTCCATTTTCTTGTTGAGCGGTAGGCCGACCTGCCCAAGACTGCCCGGTCACGCCCGCAGCAAGGGTGGTGTGATATACTGTCGTTTTGAATGATGCGGGATCCTGGTCGTGTCATGTCGGCAGGTTCTCGGGCTACATTCAGAGAGAAGAAGTTGTGGATGGCGTGCGCATCGCCGGCGATACCCTGGTTTTTAGTACCATGCCCCACCTCTTGGCCTATCACGTTTATAATTCGTATGTTGCAGTCACCTTGGCCCCTCGCTGCCCTTGCACCCTCTCACCTGGGGTCTGTGTGCACGGTCGCGCAGGGGAAAGCTGCCTTGTTGTTTGTTGCTACCCCAGCGCACAGCCATCTCATCATCACAAGGTGGGCCTAGCCACACACTTGTGGTGCTTTTGCCATGTTCGGCTTGCTGCCTCGGACATCAACACACCAACATTGACACGCTGCCTAACCTGTCTTGTTTGATTGGAATAGCGGTATCACACTCCCTGCCGACGTCCTTGGGGGCTTCACTTGTTGTTCCCGACGCCTCTCAAAACGCTGAGAACGCTGAGGCGGCCGTGCATTCATCACAAGGCAACACCGCGAACAGCACGGCCGTTCAAGAGTCTGGCCCGACCGGTACGAGAAAGAGACACTTGTTTCCAAGAGTCGCTTTGCGGCAGTCTTCGCATGCGGGGGCAGGTCGGTGCTGATGCTTGCCCGCGCGTTTGTCTTTGTGTGCCATGCTGGGTTGTGCGCAGATTCCCAATCCCCCACATCCTCGCCAAAGCCTCACCGTCGCAAGCGCCGTAGCATCCGGCATGGTAAAGCAATAGCGTAAGTCATTCCACAAGGCAAGCCAAGGAGGCGACGCGCTCGTTGCTAGCTCGACCGAACACACTGATGACGTGTTGCTCCCATCGGTCAACTCTCCCTTTGCTTAGAAGCGCGCGTCGCAAGGTGCGGCACTATTTGGAAACGCTTCTGACTCGACAGCGACAGACGGAGGCGCGCAGCATCGAGACATTCCAAGACTGTGTTCTCTTGTCGGCTCCCAGTTCAAGCACGGCTCTCATGGGGTCCATTCGACAATTCTTGAACGGCATGCGGAGACTGATTCTAACGCAGCATGGTTGGTGCATCTTCACAACTGGGCGAGTCTGCCCCAACAAGCCCGATATAGTAGCTCATCAAACGATGCTTCCATTACCCCATCACCCCGTGCCATAGGCGGCCATTTTTCACGACTCTTGCGACGCATTTTTCGCGTGGAGGATGTGACAGGTAGGATTGTACACAGCTATACCTGGTCGCGCTACAAAACTCAAGCTGATGCACACACTGTCCCGACCCTGCCTTAGACCTGATGTACGAAGTCGATCTTTTGGGTTTGATTGAAATTGCTCTACAATCGCACGTCACCGAGCACATGTACGACGTGACGTTTAAGCTGATTCTTCGTGACCTGTATGTATTTGTGCACTGGCTGGGATGCTATCAGAGGCGTGGACTATGGGAAAGACCGTTTTTTGGATAAGCTCACCCATTGACGATCGCTTTTTGGGGTTGTTCTTCGTTCAAGGGGCCACAACGTGAATCGTCTCGCGGACAAGCTCACGATTTTGAAAGAGAGTCAACCTGAAGACATTGGAGTTGAGGAGGAGGTGGGGCTTGTGTTGTGTGGAGCATGCAAAGCTACTGGACATCCTTTTTCTAATTCGTACTCAAGCCATGACATCATCACGCCACGACATGGTCTAGTGTGCTGGATGGGCTTCCTTCTTGGCTTTTCTCATTGGTGTTGGTGTCGGCTTGCTTTTCTGGTAGCTTGCTACGCAGGTCAATTATGAGACCAGCATTGCCTTTTTACAGCTCATGGAAAAGGCTAAGTCACCCATCCGCAAGCTTCAGGTCTGCTTTGTTGGCGCGGGCAGGCAGGAGGGCGTGCATTGGTCTGTGGCTGTTGGTATTTCATCTGGTTGATGACCGGCGCACTTGATCGACCGTGCCTTTCAAACATAGCACCTGTTGTCTGGCGTCAAGGCCATCACTTCTGCCATTCACGAGTCATTGGGAGATCGCGCCGCCCTCATTGGCGCCGATGAATTTCTGCCCCTCTTCATCTGGGTGCTACACAAAGCGGTGTGTTGTGCTCATTCCTGGCTCCTGCGTGGCTAATCTCGTTGTCGTTCGAGATGAAGGGTCGTTTAAATGTCGGGTGAACCGCATCTTAGGACATTCGTTTTCCTGAAGCTGAGGTGGAGTACATGTCGGGACTGTTGGATCCTGATATCATGGCGGGCGAGGTACGCTATGTGTCGCAGTGAGGCATGCTCATCAAAGGCAAAGGCTGGACACGTATCATCGTGCCTCACCAAACGCTTTGGCGGGATGGCGCAGGGGGGGTATTATTTGGTGACCTTGTCAAGTGCGGTGCAGGTGCTGAAGAACTTTGATCTACAGGCTAGCCCGCGCCTGCGCACGGCCTGCTTTGATGATGTCCAGGGCTTTTTGTACATTTATTTTGAACACCCCGACATCAAGGTGTGCTCCTTATCACTAAAAGCTGCTTGTATTGCCCTTGCTCCGTGCTGTCAGAGCACTCGAATATCTGCCTGATCTTACTCTCGCCGTCGCAGGCGCAGATGGTCTACAAGACCTTTCCCATCACCCGCACCATGACAGCCCAGGAGGCGATTGAGATGATTAGACGAAAACTGCGACTAGCTCCCGACCCACGGGATGGCTTATTCGAGGTGATTAATGATGAGTATCGAGCACTGGCACCAGACGAACAACCTCAAGCGCTCAAGGGCGCCTGGAATCACCGCCTGCACGCGCAAGGCCGTTGTCGATTTGTTTTTCGACGTGCCCCGACTAGTCAGGGTAGCACGGTGAAGACGAGTGCTCAGAGTACCAGCGAGTCCGGGCTAGCCTAGCTTTTGGTGCGGTCTGTGGCATTGACCCGTCAGTCAGCACAAGACATTTGCTTGTTCTTCTGAGGCGTCAATTGTCCGACCCTTGGCTTGAACCCCGTGTCGCTGTTCTGCCGTGTCATCCTTTTGATGCCTGCCTCGCTTAGCCTTGGGTGTGAGGCGCGCTGCGCGCTTTCTGGTGTCTCTTGTTATGTGTGTATGTGTGCATGTGTGTGTACTGAACTGCAAGGCGGTGCGAGCATGATCCTTGTCTGACGGCTCACTCGCGAGATGCAGTTGGAAGACGACGACTCAGCGCGTCAATCGACGCCCCCCTGAGCGGACTCGTAAAACATTGACGATCCCCATGTTGTGGGGAGGGTTTGAGAAAAAAAAAACATCCAAATCCAAACGAATGTGAGGGTAAGAGTAAATTTTTCATTTTGGCACTTGTTGTACTGGAGGTCCGGGAGGCTATACACTCGCGGACAACAGTCGCAAAGCTAAAAGCTGAGGCGTACAAGTGAAAGACGACAAAAGGCAAGTCCAAGCCTCAGGCCTGGAGCACACCGCCTGACACAACAGTGAGAACGAAGAAAGGCCTCTCGTGGGGGAAAAAGAAAAAGTTTCACGCTAGAAGGAAGACAGGAGCTAGGCCGGCCAGTTCATGCAGAATGACGAGCCAGGACTACGAAATCAGTTTGTTGCCCCAGGAGGAAGGTAGACTGCAAGACCACATCTTCACGAGACGAAGGGAAAGTTGGCTTCAGCATCAGTCGATGGACCATGCTCAATCCCTGAACCAAGGCCTAGGGCGCGAGAGCACGGTTGAAAGAAGGAGAGGGCTGAAGAAACGGAGTACAAGAGTCGAGACGGAGGCCGAGCCTCGGGCTCAGTGGTACTTCTTTTGACGCTCGTGTGCTGTGCGGAGGGGAGCAAACGTGAGGGATCGGTGAGTTGAAAGCGACGTGAATATGGAAACCAAGGCAAGTGGCCCGCACGTGACCTCTCAGCAGATCCCGCATCGAGGACGTGTTTGGAAGCCCACCGACAGTGACTGAGCTGCCCAAAGAAAGCGCGCGCTCGACACGCGCATCGAGCATTGACATACCGGCCAAGTGCGAGTACTCCATCACGTAGCCGAGGAGGCCGAGGGCCAGCATGGTGTGAACAATGGGACGGGCCGAGCCCTTCTTGAAGTACTTCTTGCCGTAGTTTTCCAGCCAGTTGCCAGTGGCGCTGTTCACGTTCTTGGAGGAGACGTTCTTGAGCGCCCACTGGGGCACGTCCTTGACCTTGGTCGCTGCCAGCGACTCGATCAGCGATTGAAACGAGGCCATCTTGTGCCGGTGTCTTTGAATCACGTAAATGGCCGTTTTTCCTCTCGTAACTATACAAAAAAAAAATCTTGACTTTGTTCTACACAAGTGCCAGTCTAAATTTAATAACCTCTCTTATTTGTACACGAATACGATCTGACATTCCGCAATCATATTGGAGGGGTAAGATGAGATAATCAACAACTGCGGACAACATTCGGGTGTGTGATCTGGAGGAGAGTGTAAGATCCCTCAACTCGGCTCGGCTCGGCTCGGCGTGCTTGTGGGCATCGAAGCCATCTAAGCCATCGAAGCCATCGAAGCCATCGAAGCCATCGAAGCCATCGAAGCCATTGAAGCCATCGATCGAGAATTCTGATCAAACGTACATCGTCTGATCAGGCTGAGACAGCCTTCCTACGGGTTGTTTGCTGGGCTTTGGAGGGGTTGGGGCGGCGTCCCTCCCCGATTTGAGATCAACAAGGCCATGGGCGCGTGGGGGCACGGAGGGCGTTCATGATGGATTGTGCAAGTTACAATGGGCTTTGTTTTGTCCAGAATCTGCTCTCCTCCCCTCGAAACTTCCGCCTATCGACAGTGTCTTGCCAGAGAAATCAGACACAACCTCTCTCTCGCTCTCTCTTCCTCGGTCTCCTTTCATTCTCTATGTCGGTCTCGCTCTCGCTCTCTCGCTCTCGCTCTCTCACTCTCTCTCAATACACACACTCACACACTCACACACACTCTCTCTCTTGAATACACACACACACACACACACACACACACACACACACACACACACACACACACTGAGAAAAAAGAAAACACGAAACATCAACAAAAAAACAGGCATCAAACGAAACGGTTATACGGACACACGGGTTCGACTATACATGTGATACACTTTATTGTATGCTCGAGCTTGGAAATACCACACATGTGTGTAAAAAGTACCACACCTATACCTTGTTCGTCACACTCACTAACAACTCTCAGTTGAGATGCGATCGATCTCGTGACCAGATCACTTCCCCCCCCCTGAGGAGCCCCCCTCCCCTGAGTCCCGCTTGGTCTTGCTTGTACACATACACACACATACACGCGCAAACGCACGCTGGCCTGCAAGCACGACAAGCCCACGTCTGCCAGCTTCTGGTCTTCAGCTTTCTGTTCGGTATCGCACACGCTCACGTGCAGGTGCGATCTCGCCAGACTGCCGAGCGCCCGTCCTCTTTTACGCTGGCGTTCCTCCAGGCCTCTTCTGATCCTGCTGAGAACGGATCGTGTTATTCAAGTCCCCCTTGTGACACCTTTGACGACGGACCACCCGTTTGGTGGTTGAACACCCTGCGCTTTCGACACCACTGCGCCAAAGTGCCGCTAATGACGCTCTGCTCTGCACGCGCCCTCCATTTTTTTTCTTTTTTTTTGCCGACCCACTGCTTGACGCTACACTCAAAGCTACCACATTGCAAAGCAGCTTACTGGCTCTTGATCTGAGCTGCCTACAGCCACATCAGTCGCCAAACCCGCTCTTTGGGGCCCTTTGGCCTGTGTCGTCCAGCAACTCCCGACGCGGCCTTAAGCGCAATCACCTAAACCTTTTGGCATCTTCACTGCCGAGATAAAAGCGCCTTCCTTGTAACCTCTGGCGTAGCGTCAGTCGCCAATAACCACGCCGTCATGGCGGCCACCAAAAATGGCCACCGAACCCGCACTCATCGCTCTCGGTCAGCAATCGGAGTTCGGTCCCTGCCGCCAAGCCATACGTGCACGCGTATCTCACGCATCGTCTCCACGTCGTCTCCGCTCTCTGACTGCGTGCTCGTCTTGATTACCTCCTTTCCATTAGACAACCAACCTCGCTGGACAAGCGCGCCTTCTGGCTAGGAGGCTCTGCTGCCACTGTCACCACAATCATGGTCTTGATCCTGAGCTTGGATCCGCAACGAGACAACCTCGATGCCATCGATCTCGCCCCCATCCTGGCCCAAGAGAACCTTGAAGCTCTGCACATTCAGCAACACCCACGGAGAGACTCGGAGGTGTACACCAAATGCTTGATTGGCCCATTTTCACGCCATGCTGGGCTGCAAGCAATTTCTCAGGCTCACCGTGGCCCTGGCACTTGCTTTAGACCATCACTTGTGATGCGCCCTCGGCCTGGGAGCTAGATCCAACCTCATATTTTCGACGGTATACGCCTCTTGTATCCAGATGTGGCCGAGTGTTGGCCGACGTTGGCGTCGACCCTAACGCTGCACTTTGCTCGAACCGCTCACTAGTTGGCATGGCCAAGACTGCGCCTTTTGGACCTTGCATGATCCTAAAATCCCATCTCTGCACGCGACCGAAACTGCTTCTCCCCGCACCATTGCCCGAGTAGGTGGTCTGACCACACCTGAAACAGAAACAAGGTCTCGCGCGTTTACCTTACTGCCGCTGCTGTCGCCACACACCTGGCTTCTAGGCGCATGTGGTTGTCAAAACGTTTCCAACATCACGAGACGCAGAGAGCTACAAGCGCTTTTTCTGGGGTACACATGTCACCCGAGACATTGCACTGGCTCTGATGGCCAACCTGAGCGTTGCCAGCGCCCTCCCTGCAGGTGTCTTCTTGTCGCCCAGCCGTTCGTCCCGACGCAGAATCTCTTGACTCACCCCACCTTTTACTTGCTGCTTTCCTGCACGCAGCTGTCGATCCAAGGGCTAGTCTCATGTATTGGGATCCTCATATGATCCGTGCCGATCTGCCTCAAACTATGCACGCAAACTACAGTACTCACAAAACCTTCACCACCGCTCTCGTGTATGCAATGCTTTCCTGCAAATCTACAAACCAACTCGCTGCATGAGTATGCTGTCAGCTCACCCCTTTCCACCTTCCCTTGATAATCTGCTTGTGCAACTTAGGCACGACCGTGCTTTCATATTCATTCAGGCGTGGGGTCCGCCCAGGTCCCTCGCTGTCCAGCTTGGTCCCGATTTGATGGGCCGGTTAGCCTCTCTTGGCCGTTTGCTGCCTTTGATGCTTTTGTGATCTGCCCACTATTTTACGTCTCACGACCTTACACAATCACGATCCTCCTTCGCCACCGCATCAAACTTTTCAAAACCCCTTGCTAGACTTGCGTTTGCGTTGCATCAACAAGCGCTAACCCACGTCCTGCCCCAAGCAACGGCCACCCGAGCTCAACTGCTTTTGCGGGGACAGGCGGTTCTCCTCGACCGCTGGCCAATGTATGTCGCGCCGTATTTATGGCACCGCAGACACCATAATCTAGCCCTGTTTTGCTGTGCCACTCACAAGCATTCGTGTTTGCATTGGCACTGTGATGTGGCGGCCGGGGGGGTTCCTTTTTGCTTCTTCTTGATTGGAAATAGCATTGCATGCCTAGTGGCAGTGGTTGCAGCAATGTCGCTCCTGCCCTTGATCGTCTCCTGGTCCACCATTGTCAAGCTGCACACTCTTGTGCAGAAGACACGGGATCAGACTGCCAAAGCCATTGTCCGCGTCTTTCCAAGACGGCTGGTGTCACCAGCAGCGCCCATCACGAACAACACCACCAAGCTTGACCACACCAAGCCAAAGCCCCCTGCTGCACTCACGCCTGCTGTTATCAGATTGCCTGAGTCCGAAGAAGTACCGTTGGAGACCGCGTCCCCTTCGATGCCCAGCCCATCGATGGCCACTGTTTCATTCACTGAGGCAGACGCTGCAGCACTCACATCAAAAGCTCAAGTTGTGCAACAATCCAAGCGTCCAACGAAGCAAAGACGCCGCAGTCGCTTAGACTCTGGTATCGAAGCTACAGATGAATCCACAGCGCAAGAGTGCAGCAGAAGCTCGGCGCCAGCCCAGGTCGCGTGCGTGTCCACCAACAAGTGCAACGCTTCACCCCGCCCAAATTCGCCTGCCGACGCAAGTGAGGGCGACTGGATGGCACCACGCCGTGGGCGGGCCACCCTTCCCTTGTCCATCGCCGTCCAACACCGCTGTCCTGTCTCTGTTTCGACCCGAGAAGCAATACTGCCCAGCCATGCACAGGCCAATGACATGGATTCCATGTCGCACATGTCGTTTGAGTCAGCATCCTCGTCGGCAAACACTTTATCCCACGCAAACCGGCGCCGAGCCCGGGTGCGGCAGCGCACCCACGCAGGCCAGAGTACCCGAATGCATTCGGCGCGATCAGCATCCCCTCCCACCCAGCGTGCTCGGCCATCGAGAAAGGCACCCGCCCCCTCTCACACCTTGACTAGTCGCCAAGACTCGGGAGCTGGCTCCTCTGACGAGACAGACGCTTCACCCGTGGCCACCACTAAAGTACTGGCCCAGCTGGAGGCAGCACTGTCCGCACCTGAGTTTGTTCCTCACAATTCGACCTATCTTCACGTGGAGCCTGCGAATCAATTCGTCGTGAACATGCCAATGAGTCCCTACGGTACCCTGGTGTTTGATCCAGCTTCGGGCACTTGGCTGCAGCTGATCGATCAGAGCTTCATGTGGCCATACCCCTGCGCGCCCCACACCCTCAAATCTTCCTGCCCGGATGAGCCCGGCGTCATGGGTGCGGGATCGATTGCCACGATGGGCTCGCCGTGACGCCCGATGGGCTTGAGCCCCATGAACCACATCTGTGCAGGCGCAGGGTGGATGCCAAGCCAAAGCAGCTTCTGCAACTAGGAAGCAAGTCCAGTTTGGGAGGTGGCGATGTCGCTTCCGAATGCTGAATACTTTCACGTGTGAAGCAATCCTGAGTGTGTTGGGGCTTGTGATAGATGCATGTTTCCGCCCCCCCCCCAGGTGTGTTGATTAACGTTTAGGGATATGTTGTCAAAGTAACAATTTTACGCCTGTCCGAATCGCTTCTTCGCACGTCCACGAGCATTTCCCTTGGTTTTGTGTTTCACAAACACAGAGCGATGTGCTCTCTCATAGCTTCGCATCCATCAGAGATGAAGCGATGGCCTTGCACGCCAGCGCGTCCCGTTGTGTGTCAGAGAAGTGACGTGTTTTTCTCGAGCCACCGAGCATTGAAACGAAGGCGCAAACTGGGAAACTGTTCGATTAAGGTTTGAGATCTTTTAAGAGGGGAATGCTGGGCTGACATGCGTACAAAGTGGACACAGATTAGAGCAGGGAGATTCCGAACAAACAGAGACGATACAAGAAGGCTCGGTGCATCGAGTGAGCAACGCTCTGTTTCGTTGAAGGCACATCAAAACAGGGAAGGCTCGGTGTCTTTACCAAGCGCAGACTGCGTCAAGGGTCCTTGCCAACTGATTGACCATTGCCGCAGAGCTGGCCTTGTGTTTGGCGCGGCTGATATAGAGGAGATTGAGACCTGGAAAAAGGACCCGTTGCCATACTGGCATCGGTCAAGCCAAGCGTTTCTGCCATACACCTGCAAAACTTTATGCCCGAGCGGCGGGAGAGGTGGGTTGGCTGCTGGCTGGACTGGTCTCGGCGTCGTTCTGCTTGGGCTTGCCTGATTCTGACGCATCATCCCCCTCTTCATCTTCGTCTGACTCAGACCCAGAGTTATCGTCTTCGCCCCCATTGTCGTCACCTTCGTCCCCATCATCGTCATCATCGTCCTCATCATCATCACCATCATCGTCGTCGTCCTCCTCATCATCATCGCCGTTTTCATCGTCGTCGTCGTCATCGTCGGCGTTGCCATGATCGTCCTCGTTTTCGTCTGGGTCCTCTTCATCGTCATCATCTTGGGTAGAGTCATGAAGGCGCTTGCGGCTAGCTAGCACGGCCTGCGTGTCCTCGTCATCCGAATCAGAGTCTGAATCATAGGCTTTCCGCGACTTGGTGTTGCTCTTGCTGCTAATGTGCACGCATGAGCGCCCGAGGGGGCGGAGAGATGAGGTGACCATGACAGAGGATGTGACGAAGGAGCGCTGTGGGAAAGAAATAGCGGGCTTGCTTACCCGTGCGTGGCAGGTTCATCAGAGGATTTGGACGCCGGTTCATTGTCACCATGAATGTCCATGGGATCACTTTGGTCTGACGAATGGGTGGATACGGCGGAAACAGGTGGTTGGTCCTCTTTGGCAACACGCTCGGTAGGGGTGGCTGAAACTGCTGGCGTGACTGGTGCCTGAGCGGACTGACCTTGTACTTTGTTGACAAAACTTTTTTTTGTCTTTGTGGCGTCGGAAGTTTTACTGCTTTCCTTTGACTTGTTGGGAGCAGAAAGGTCGCTGACCGCAGAGATGGTACGTCCACCAGCGGAAGTATCCCTGTCAGCCTTGCTCTTGGCAGGTTTGGGCGCGGGCTTGGCACTGCTGACGCTTTCCTTGCGCTTGGGTAACTCTGCCTTGACCTTGGGTGCTGGCTTGGCCTCGCCAGGCACTGTTTTCTTCCGCTTGGCTGGTGGCCCGCTCTGTCACGGCAGCAGCCATCAAAAGGAAGAATGACAGTGAGCATGAAAACGGCTCTCGAGTGTCAGAAAGTTGAATAGGCAATGACACTCCTGCAATGCGGGCTATCTGGGGCGGCGTGCGGTTGCAACGTACTGCCGAAGGTCCACTGAAGGGTCCGTCTGAATCGGAGGTATCGCCTATTTAGGTTGCCCGTTGTGCACATTTGTTTGGTTCAGCACGAACGAACCAGAAAAGGCACAAAGCAACCAGAAAAGAAGAACAGAAAAGTGGGTGCTACGCACCGTCTGAGCTTGAGATGTTCTCATATTCGAGAAGCCGGTCCAAGAGAAAGCTGGGTCACAAAAAGTATGCTGGGTGAGAAGATTTGGCCCAATGGCTGGTTTTGAAGGCCAATAACACAACGCAAGGAATATGGGCTACGCTGCGCCCGTGGCAATGCCTGTTGGCAAGTCGTGCTGACCTCTTTTCCTTCATCACGCGCGAAAGCTGCATGCGAGCAACCTGTAGGTCGCGAAGCAGGCCCTCCTGCGCCTGAGAATTGAGGAAAAAGTAGGGAGGTGGGCGGGGATGCAAAGTATGCAAGGAGAATGAACAAAGTGTTCACAGTGAGCTTGCACAGTGGTAACTGGCTCAAAAACAAATTGGCCGACAACTCGCTGCGCATTTGGCATGGGACTGCGGTGCACCATTGCTCAGTGCAGGTGGAAAGACGTACATAGACGAGACATTTCATTTTGTGCTTGAGGTTTTTGTACTTTTGCTGGAGAGACGCATCTGGTTTCTCTGCGTTGACGGTCGCGCGCCAGGAGCGGGCAAGGATGGATCAGTGGGGCAGGAAGTTTGAAGGGGCTGCAGCCAGCAAACCCAAGGGGCGCCGAGGTGATCCAAGCATACCAGAGGTTTTCATTTTGAGCTTTGGAGCTGAACTGCTGGCCTTGGTGGCAGCCGCTGCCGCAGCTGCACTGTTGCCGGCAACGTGCGTGGATTTAGCCTTATTGGCGCCGCCACTGGGAGCAGGCTTCTTCACCTACGCCAACAGTGTGACAACATATCAGCGATGAGCTCCTGGTATGGTTTCAATGCGTTTGGAGAGCCTCTGGCTGACTCGAGATGTCATTCAACCAGCTGGTGATTCGACTTTTTCACTGAGCTGGGAGGTGTAAAGGGTGGAAGTGGCACGCACTGCGGGGTCGCTGTCCTCATTTGCTGATGCAACTGGGGCCGGGGTGGGTGATACCGAGGACCGCGGAGATGTGGGGGCCGATTCTTTGGCCCTCTCCCCGGTATTTTTATCCGTAGCACTGGCAGGGCGGACGGTCCCATTGCGGGAGGCCTTGTGCTCCTCCTCGCCTCCGGCCTGCAGCATCCCACTTTGTGCATGAGAGCAACGACGAGCAAGCGAAGAGAGTTGACACCACAGGGACCAAGCAAAAGCGATCAAAGATGCACAAAACGCTGAATCGGCCCAAAAAGCCGAGCCTTTACGACCCGTGTCCCTCGTGGCATTGCATTCAAACCGCCCACCAGATCGGGCCACCATTCAGACACAAGAGGGAGCAACGGGGAGAGCGGAGAGCGCGCGAGCGAGCGAGCGCAGGGTCTCGCCGTACCTGTGTGTGGTGATCCGCCGAGACGTCCATAGCGCACTGTGATCAAAAGTACACTTTGTCAGACGAGAATTTCTGTATCAGTCAGGCCCTTGGACTAACCCCTTGAATGATTCATAGTTTGTGTTGTCATGCTCAAAGTGTGACAAAGCGTCCATTTGTCAGATTCTTTCTTTTATCTGACAATTCTAACGCTGATTCAACGTTGAGGTGTGACGAACTGTCACACTTTCAATATGTTTGTCTGACTTTAGTTAGTGTGTAGCTTATAACGCTATGAAATTCCGATAGTGTAATTTATAACGCACTAAGAAAGTTTCAGTCAGTGTGTGAATCGCATCTTAACGACGGCTGATGTTTAAGTTAATGCATCGCCCAATACCTCCCGCGACCAAGTTCATGTAGCATCCATAATACTTTTCGCCGCCATTGAGAGCAAGATTGATTGAAAAAAACGTCAGCAATTTGGTTTTTTCTTGTATTTTGGTCATTTCGAGCTGTTGGTAAGGACCAACGCCCTGTGCGTGGATGTGTGTGACTCTCTCTCAAACTCTCTCTCTCTCAAACTCCTCTCTCAACTCTCTCTCTCTCTCTCTCAAACTCTCTCTCTCACTCTCTCAAACTCTCTCTCAAACTCTCTCTCTCTCAAACTCTCTCTCTCTCTCTCTCTCAAACTCTCTCTCTCACTCTCTCACACTCTCTCTCTCTCAAACTCTCTCTCTCTCTCTCTCTCTCACACAAACTCTCTCTCAAACTCTCAAACTCTCTCTCAAACTCTCTCTGAATCTCTCTGTGTGCGAATGGCAGCGGGTGAGGGCCAATGTCTGTGCGATGGGGGCGTGATACATGGGTTGTTTTGGAGATGCGGGACTGGCTGGCTCTGGCTGGCTGGCTGGCCCTGGCTGGCTCATCCAGGATCCTGGGATAGGGGTGGCATGGGTTGCTAAATGGCTGGCTCTTGGGTTCCGTACCTATCGCTCATGTCTCGATGCCTCGCTCGACTTGCTGTGCACGCTAGACCAACAAGCATCGCAGTCAACCTTCCTGGAAGGCTAGAGGACGTTGGCTCAAACGCCCAAACACCATCTGATACGACAACGCTGCGCACGCAGCTCCCATTGGCGCGAGGTTGAAGCGCCCCCACCTCGGGCCGAGATTCGGAGAAGAACGCAAGTTCAGCACGCGCACAGGTTCCCCTTGCTCGCGAAACAGGAAGCACCGTGGGCCAAACGCGTGGAAGTCCTACCCGGATTGTTGGCGATGGCGGCCTTGCTGCCTTTACCGCGCTGCCTTGCCCAGCGCTGAGTGGACGTTGCTGTTCCATCTTTAAGCTTACGCAAGAGCAGCCCTTTTGCTCGATGGTGCAACCCTGCTGCTCTCCGTCGTTCTAGCCTTGCAATCGTTCTGAGGGGTCTGCTGCGCCTGGGCGTGCCAATTATTATCTTCCGCCGGCATGGAGGAAGACATTCAGGCCATGAGCGCTGGCCAGCGCCAGCAAAGCCTCGAGGCCATTGAACACCTCAAGAAAAAGCTGAAATCACAGTTGCCTCTCCAGGATCAGGCCTTATCCAACAAACTCCTTGTCGGCCTGCGCCAAGCCATTGCCAATCCCAATTGGAACGTGCGGCGTGAAGCCATCGGCCTGGCCAATGAGCTCATAGTGAAGATGCCCGTTGAAGGCTGCGCCCTGGCTGAACGCCTCTTTGCCAATCTGACCGATGAGAAAATTACCATTCGCAAAGCTGCCCAGGCCGCTCTTTCTGCCTGGCTGACCGCGGCTCGAGATGATACCCATGTGCTCATGTCCTGCCTCGAGCACGGTATCAATGCTGGAGATGATACCGTTCGTGCCGCCGCCATTCAGCTTTTTACCCGCTCCTCCGTAAGTGAAGCCCTTCGTCCCTGTTGTCTGCACACCCCTCTTGCTGTCGGAACTCGAACTTCCTCCTCAAAAAACGTGCCTCAACGAGCCCGTGCCCTGCCCTGCGCCCCTTCTCTCTGCACGCGTCGATAGGTTTGGCACGGATTTGATCGTCAAAGTGCCTACCAAATCCTTGCAGCTCTCGAGGGAAACACCACCCACGAAAACGCGAACGTGGCCGCTGCAGCCAACGCGGTACGCTGCTCCCAGGGCATCCTTTGCCCCCGCGCTCGTTGCGTCTTGTGATTTGGCGCTCGTTCATACGATGCTCATTTACTCCTTTGACTCCTTTCTAGTGTGTCAAGCAGCTGCCAACTCTGCTCGGTTCAGAATTCTACACAGCCCTGCTTGCCGCCGCTCCCAGCGGCACGCGCATCTCTTCGGCCCATGTACGAACTCGCCCCAGTTTTGTTTTCCTGGCAGGGGTCACGAGACCCCGAGGTCACGACGCTAGTCCTGTAGCATCACCGCACTAACTTGGCATAAATGACTTGGGCTGGAATTTGACCATGTCTGGATGTAGATCATGTCTCGCAGTCTGAAAGCAGCCAGCGCAGAGCAAGTATCAGGCCCCACTTTTGGCTTTCTGGCGGCCTCGGTAGTTGATGTACTTGAAAGCGCGACCGCTCTCCCCGAGGACCGCGTGCGCGCCATGACTAGCCTGCGCGCAGCCATTTACGGTCTCAAGGATGGCTCCTCCCTTGTTGGCTCTCTGGAGCAGCTACTGAGCTTCTTGGTGGACCTCACGGCCGACCTCAATGTCAAAGTGTGCATTGGCGCAGTCGACGTAAGTGCCAGTAACCATCTCGCTGACCGCTACCTGCGCTTGAGAGCAATGTCGCTTGCCGTCTGTTTTTGCCACGTGGATTGCCTTACATCATCCCCCCCCCCCCC